GGAGCAGATGAGTCGTGGGTCAGGCAGCTTTCTGTCTGCTGTTGCAGGGCTCACTGCTGACGCGAGGATAGTCATCAACAGGGCCCGAGTGGAGTGCCAGAGCCACCGGCTGACCGTGGAGGACCCAGTCACCGTGGAGTACATCACCCGCTACATCGCCAGTCTGAAGCAGGTGGCGGCCCCCTGCCTGTGGCTGGGCTCTGGTTACGGAGCAGTCACTGCTGTGTCACACAAAGTGTCCTGTTAACCGCGTGTAGATGTCTGCATGTGCCACTTTAATGGAGTCAAAACTGCACTGATTTCACGCACAATCCCGATCTTTATTCGTACAAGCGTAACTTCGTATAGCTTATCCGCTTTGGTGGCACGGGACAGTCCAAATTCGTGTTTCTGGAGGGAAGTGGTAGTTTTTGTCTTGATGTGCTGTGTGACTGGTTATCTAGCACTTGGCAGGAGCTGAAAGCCACCCCAGCCCTGTTGTGAAACGCTAGTCGTTTTAAAGGCAACCGTGTAGCCAGAGGCGTGTCTGTTGTCAGAGTAGTTCCAGTGGCCTCAGTTGCACTCTGTGATGACTTGTGGTCACAGGTCTACCTTTCACATCTTTTCAAGAGAAAGATGCACAGGCTCTGGACTGGGCTCACTCCTCACTGGCATTGCAGATACCTGAGAGCATCTCCATCCCCTCGGTGAAAGCACAGCTGTTCTGAACATCGTGTGTGTTACTCAGGGTGGGTTCCGGGGGCCTTTTGTGCTAAGACGACAGCACTGACCTGTTCTTTTCCCCACCAGCGCTATACGCAGAGCAATGGGCGTAGGCCGTTTGGCATCTCTGCCCTTATTGTGGGTTTCGACTTTGATGGCACGCCCAGACTCTATCAGACTGACCCCTCGGGGACATACCATGCCTGGAAGGTGAGTCCCTGATAAAACAGAGGGTCTTTGGGTGGTTTTGCCAGTAAAAGAGGTTGTGGAGGCTATTGGAAGGTACTGGGCCTTTGCTGGTTCACCTGTACACAGTTTGTTCCACGATATTTCTGCTGATGTGGGAGCAGAGAAGTTGTTAAAGTTGCTGTTTGAGACAAAATCTGAGGATAGTGAGGTATTGGGATACATGGTGCAAAGTAAGATTACCCATATTTTTTCAGTGATGAAAAAGGATCCCACTCCTGGTAAGGATTAGCACCACTTCCAAAAAGCCCTTTGGGAAAGGAAGCCATGAGGTGGGGCCTGGGATCTCGCACCACCTGCTGCCAGGCTGCCTCACACTGTGACACAGGACTGGCCCCTGCAGCCATGGCTGTGGCTTTTTTTTGAGCTATGTCACCCAAGTGATGAGTGTTTTGTTTTTGTTTTTTTAGATTTTATTTATTCATAAGGGGGGGTGGGGGCAGAGGGAGAAGCAGGCTCCCATGGGGAGCCCGATCAGAACTCTCGGATCACGCCCTGAGCCAAAGGCAGATGCTCAACCCCTGAGCCACCCAGGCGCTCTGATGGCCATGTTCTTGGGCTGTCTCTGGATTGTCGTGCCTTGTACCATGTCACAAATTTCTGTTTCAGGCCAATGCCATAGGTCGGGGTGCCAAGTCAGTGCGTGAATTTCTGGAGAAGAATTACACTGATGAAGCCATTGAGACTGACGACCTGACCATTAAGCTGGTTATCAAGGCCCTCCTGGAAGTGCGTTTGCATTTGAAATCCGGTGCTTGGGCTGAGGAGAACAGGAGTGGGCAGCTGGTGTACAGGCCACAGGAAGGATTCCAGGGCATGCGCGGGGTGCTGGGCGTTGCGGGCTTGCTCTGGCTGGGCGCTGCTGCAGTGCTGTATCAGCTCCTCCGTGCAGCCAGAGCAATCCAGGACCGGGTCTCAGAGCTCGTCTGAGAGCGCAGATGAGCAGCAGCAGAGGCAGGACGGGAACCACTGGGTGCACTCTGCCACTCACAGCCCTCACTCACAGCCCTCACTCGGCCTTGCTGAGGCTCCTGCTGCTGCCAAGGTTGGGGAATTAGGGAGTCCTGGGGCCAGGGGCCGGGAGTCGTGAGGTGCCTTGGGCTTCGTCAGCACTGCAGAGGTGCTGGTGGGTAAAGCCAGAGAGGCAGACGGAGAGCCAGAAGGCCAGGCTGGGGTCCAGCTGTCGGGGCTCAGCTGCTCTGTGGAAGGGTCTGCGGTTGGCAGGCGGGGATTGCCACACAGGAAGCTTCAGGGGCTGGGCCCTCGGGGTGACCTGCTCCCTCCCCTCAAGGGGCAGTGTTTGAGGCATTTGCCAGAGCTGCATGGCCTTCCTTGAGGGAGAGGTGTCTGATGTCTTCTTCCTTCCAAGGTGGTTCAGTCTGGTGGCAAAAACATTGAACTGGCTGTTATGAGGCGAGATCAACCCCTCAAGGTAACCACGGAGTTTATCTGCTGTCTTTGGCTCTGGAGCGTTCCTGGGGGTGGGGGTGGGGGTGGGGGTGCAGGGACCCTGGTCCTGTGGCGTCAGTGCTAAGGGAGAGGCTCGCCCGGCACTGCAGCCCTGCACACTGGCTCCTGCCCTTCAGCTGCCTACAGGCTGCCATCCTGGTTTCCCTGTAGCAGCAGCTGGGAGGTGCAGGCTGGCTGCAGCCCAGGAGCTCCCTCCCGAGGGTGGCGCTGGTGCTCTGGGGCACTTGTGTGGCTTGGAGGGGAGCTAACCGTAAACTTTCTTTGGTAGATTTTAAATCCTGAAGAAATTGAAAAATATGTTGCTGAAATTGAAAAAGAAAAAGAAGAAAATGAAAAGAAGAAACAAAAGAAAGCATCATGATGATGGAATCTTGTAGTGATTTTTAAATTCAGATCATGGAAGATTCTCAAAAATGATATGTAGGCATTTCCATTCCATTTACTGTCCGTGTGTCCTGCAATAAATTTGTTGGTTGACCTTTTCCTAAGAGCGTCTGTGTGTCGGTGCAGTCGTGACAGCTCCGTGGAGTGGAGTCTTCCCCTCGCTCTGCATCTCCGAGTGCTGTCCTCAGCAGGAGCCCGTGTTGTCTCCGGGCTCCAAGACCCCAGGCCGTGGTGGCGGGCAGGGGAGTCCAAGCAGCTCTAGGAGAGCACGCACTGTGACGGGTGTAGACAGGTGTGTGGCACTCCACACGGACACAGGAAACTCCCAAGTGTGCTTCCTGTAGGGGTTCTGAGCAGCCTGACCTTGTTCCTTCCTAGATCTTCACTCAAGTTCCTAATCACAGAACATCACGGGCACAGCAGAGAGAGCACTCATTTCAGTGTTTAAATTCAGAATTCTGCAGAGCAGCAGTGTTGAGAACAAGCCCTGTATTTGTAGCAGGATCAAGTCTTACCCTTTTTTTTTTTTTTTAAGATTTTATTTTATTGGGATCCCTGGGTGGCGCAGCGGTTTGGCGCCTGCCTTTGGCCCAGGGCGCGATCCTGGAGACCCGGGATCGAATCCCACGTCGGGCTCCCGGTGCATGGAGCCTGCTTCTCCCTCTGCCTGTGTCTCTGCCTCTCTCTCTCTCCCTCTGTGACTATCATAAATAAATAAAAAAAAAATTAAAAAAAAAAAAAAAAGATTTTATTTTATTCATCAAAGACAGAAGCAGATACATGGCAGAGGGAGATGCAGGCCTTGATCCCAGGACCCCGGGGTCACGACCTGAGCCAAAGGCAGACGCTCAACCACTGAGACCCCCAGGCGTCCCCGTAGATCAGGTCTTAAAGTTTGTCCTCTCCCCAAGACCCTGGTGCCCACTGCTCCCTGCTTGCTCTTGCTCTGGCCAGAGACGGCCCTGGGTCTCTAGAGGAGACTCGAACCATTCGTCTAAAAGCTGCTTCATGGGAGGCTCTACCACCAGGCCTGCCTGCTGACAGGCCCCCAGCCCAGGGGCATAGCACAGATGGGTCCTTGGGGGACCCTTGGACCACCCTTAGGCCATTGCCCCTTCCAGCCATGCTGTTAGGATTCCAGGGCTCGGGCAGCTGGGGTGGCTCAGCGGTTTAGTGCCACCTTCAGCCCAGGGCGTGATCCTGGGGACCTGGGATCTAGTCCCATATCAGGTTCCCTGTGCGGAGCCGGCTTCTCCCTGTGTCTCTGCCTTTCTCTCTCTCGGTCTCTCGTGAATAAATAAAATCTTAAAAAAAAAAAAAAAAAAAAAGATTCCAGGGCTCTGCTTCCCACCTCAGCCTACAGCGTCTCTTGCTTGGCTCTCCTTGAATGGCACATACATACCGTCTTCTAAAAAGGATGAAAAAGGCCCAGGTAGGTTTTAAGCTGTTTCATAAAATGTGTACTGTCAAAATGCCAGTTTACGATCTTAATAGCACAATTAGTCATCACAGTGGTAAAGGGACTTGACTATATTTAGGCCGGCTGACAAATACCTGTCTAGCGCAACTGCTGAGTCACCTAACTCAGGTTAGAATTAGCGCCCGGCTACCTGCAGGTAGCACGTACACTACGGAAGATTTTAACTTCTCACTGGCCAAGGATGTTGGTCTGTGCCCTCCCCTGCCCCCCAAAAACGTGTTGACATTTTGAAACTGAAGGGGCCCTGACACTGTGGGCCGAGGCCCTGCTGCCTGGTCCTGCTCCAGGCCCGACGGAGCCCTGGGCAGACACGGAGGGAGAGGAGCCTTAGGTCTCGGACTCTGCTTTTCAAAGTCCGCCAGAAACCCCTACAGTTGGAACGGGCTGCTTCTACGCACGGGGCTGGGGCGCAGCCTGTGCCCTGTGCCAGGCCGGCCCTGGGGAGCTTCTGGAGGCTGCGGTGAAGCAACGGAAGGACCACTTCTAAAGCAGGTTTATCTGTGAACTGAATTTCTAAGACTAGCTTGTGTCCCAAGTGTCTGGAAGTGTCCGGGACAAGTGTCCTCGACCCGGAGAGTGGCCCACACCCTTTCTCCAGGCCAGCCGGGTCGGTCTCCCAAGACCCTACCAGCGTGAGGCCTCAGCCGCCCCTGCCTCACGACGGGCATGTGAAGCAGCACAATCAACACAGCTATTTATTTTCAGAGCAGAGAAGAAGAAAGTTTTAAAGGTTTGCATGTTTATTTATAATTACAATTTACATTACTCCAACAGAGCAGCCCACTGCTATGTTCTAACTCTTAGCCATTAAGTCCTACAAAAATAAACCCAAGCTTTTACAGTAACTGAATCAATACAGAACTAAAACCTTTTTAGCTATGTAAAGGGGTTTATTAGTTACCAAGGTGCTTATGTTCAACACGATGCCCTCTCTGGCAGAAGGGCGCATGCTTACACTAAAGGTCTGACCCATTTACTCATGCAACAAATTTATATTCCCCACCCTCCCTCCACCCAATGTAAAACAAAAACACAACTATTTACAGTTGAGAAGAAAAAGGTTCTCGGTCAACCGACTTTGCAAAAAAGACTGGCTCATTTCCAAGTGGATGAGACACTGAACAGTGGCCAGAGTCCAACGCTGACTGGCCTGGGTCAGGGGATGGCAGGGCGGGAAGGCTGGGGAGCCCGTGGGGGGGCTGGCCCTGGACGTTGGCCCCCACCCGATTCCTGTGGAAGCCAGGCTCTGAGCCACAGTGCCTAGCTCACATTCAGGACCCCCTTCCTAAGCCACCAAGATTCCCCCGTCTCCCCGCCCCTTCCCCCCCAACCCCACCAGCCCTCAACCTTGACATCGCCACTCGGATGTAAGGGTTGTCTGGTTTGCTTATACAACATGATCCGTGGGACACCCCACTTTCCCTGCCCTGGGCCCCCCACCCCCACACGCTCCCATGCTGGGCCTGCCTGGCTCCTGAGACCCCACCTGTGGCAGTGGGAGTGCCAGGCCAGCAGCACCAGAGGCCAGCTGGGTTACAGAGATACGCTTGGCTGTCACGTTTGCCAAATGAGATTTGGTTCCACTTTAAAAAAGTCAAAGCTGTCACAAAAAAGTCACAAAGTGAGGATCAAGCTTTTGCTCTAGAAACCTTTTCCCAAAATACCAAAACCTTAGAATCAGGCTGTGCGCAACTAAAGAGGAAAGACAGGCCAAGATACCTCAAAGAGGTTACCCACGAATACTTCCCCCCAAAACAAGTGGTTCTAACTCAGACCATGTCCAAGTTCAATTAAGTCCAAAACGTAAGTAGTAGTGCGCAAATTTTCCAAACTCAGTAAACAAAGTGACCCATGTCTCCCCAGTAAGTGCAGCGATTTCCAACAGCCTCAGACCCAGCTCCACTTCTGTGCTGCCTCCGCAGGTGCCTGCAAAACGGGGATAGGACACCCAGTGAGCACGTTCCCATTCCACTAGGCGCCACCCGGCACGAGCCAGGCAGGCAGACTCCCAGGGAGGACACCCCGATCAGGCCACGGATCCCCGGACTTTCCAATCACAACCAACAATGAAAATCATCTTTGTACGTACTGGGGACAGGGAGAACAAGCTCCAGGTCCCACCCGGCTGGGGCGGGTCAGCCCCGGGACACACCTGTCACCCACTCACCACTCAGACCCACGGGGTGCACCAGTCTTGGGGTCCCTGTGGGGTGACAGGCTCACAACACTCTCCAACAACACTGGGCCTGCGTCCCTGGGAGCCCCCCGGGCGGTTCGGAGGGTCAGGGCCCTCCTCGTGGCCTGGATTCTGGAGGCATCCCTTCTTACTGGAAGCCCCAGCCAGACGCTCCCTGTCCCCCCCACAGAGGCTGCCCATCGGGGAACTCCCACCCCAATGCCTGCCCCCCCCCCCCCAAGGGCCCAGCAGCTTCCTTCCCTCACTCACCTGGGGCTGCGTCCTTACACCCTGCCAGTCCCAGCTCGGTGGGAAGTTGGGTTGCGGCGGGTTGTCCCATTGCCCCTGCCCCCTCGAAATCCACCCCTGAAGCTACGGCCACGAAGAAACCTTCCCGACACCCCAAAGGTCTCTGTGTTGAGCTTCCGCTCCTCAGCCCACGTAGTCCGCCTGGAACTGAAGCACAGACAGGTACATGAGACCAAGTGCAGCAGTGCCAGCTCAGGGCTCCGAGCCAGAGCCCGGCCTCCCAGCCCAGGAGGAAGGGAAGGCAGGCAGGAGGTTAGTGCTGCTGGAGCCAGCAGAGCGGGTGACCCCGTCGGGACCCGGCAGCCACAGAACCGACACCACGGGAGCTCCCAGACACCCCTCCGACCAGGGAAGTCTGTTTGTCACTGGACTTGGCTGCTGAGCATCGACTCTCACGCCTTTAGCAACTACGGCAAACACATGACACTGGGCAGTGCCCACGTGGGTTCTGAGACCCAGACCCGACCACGGACCCCGTCAGCTAAGTTTAGTGCATGAGGAGGGACTTGGTGTAGGTGGAGCAGGGTCTCTAAGAATAGGATGCTTGTGCTCCGGGGGCAGCGGGGACAGGGCCACAACACTGCACGCTGCCCCAGCACCCGCCCGTGTAGCTCAGGCGAGGACCCCCGTGTCCGTTTACAGGCAGCTCGCGGACACCACACCCAGCGCCGAGCCCCGCGCAGGCCTCAAAGAACGAGCAGCTGCACCCTTCGGCTGCCCAGGCCAACACCCAGAGAGTCGCTCTGGTTCTCCCCACGCCCTGTCCGCAAACCTCGTCTGCTCCCCTTTCAAAGCCCGTTCAGAAGCCCCACTCCCTCCTCTACCCCCAGCCCCACCCTCTCCCCAAACACCCAGATTACCGCAGAAGCCTCCGGACGGGCACCCGGCCTCAACCCTTGTCCCCCTTCAGTACACTCGACAGACACCGCGGAGGCGTCCGACGGCCTGGCTCCCTGGCTCCGACCCGGACAGCTGCCCAGGACTCTCGGCACGCGAGCTGGTCGTCACCGTGACCTAATAAGTCCCACACACGTCTCCCCTTCAGCCCAGACCAACTCCCTCGGACTCTGCTCTGGCGGGTGGGAAACGCACACCGGCCGGCTCGCCCCGGCAGCCTGTCTTCATTCCCCCACAGCGCACGGCGGGAGACCTCCACACGCCATTTACCTTCACCCTCCCGCTGCCCGGCCTCCTCCCTCTTGTTCGCTGGGGCATTTCGCTCTCATGTGGGCATGTGTGTATGTTTTCCCCTGCCGGGATACGAACGTGGGGAAGTAGCCTGTTCTGTGCTGCGCCCTCGATGCCCAGCAGTGTGTCTGGCCCTCTGTGTACAAAACAAATGGATCTGGAGATCTACGCTCTGCCCTCTGTAGAGATTCCATTTATCGTCCAGCTTTTTCACATGGTGGCATCGGAGCACCAGCTGCGAGGCTCTAAGGATGCATGATAGGGTCCCCAGTCTCCAGCAATCAGGTGAAAGAACACCCCAACAGAACACGTGGGCCAGCTGCTGCAAAGACCGAGGCCCTCAGGCCCCCCGGGGCCAATGGGGAACCCAGAACAGGCCAGGACCAAGTGGTGTAGACTTGAATGATGCAGCCACTCAGCTGGGGAGGGCAGCGCCAAGCCCAGCCTTAAGAGCATAAGAGGTAGCAAAGCCAAGACGGAAGTCTGGGCTGGACCTTGGTCAGACCCCTTAGGGGCCTGTGACCGCCGGGGGTTCCCACACTGTCATCTGCTGGTGCCACCGGGACAGATATATCCACAAGGCAAAGATGTGAGTAGGAACTTAGATCTGAGTCTGGTCTTCAGGAGAGCCTATCTCCAGAGACCTGAGGCAGAACGAGCGTCTTCCTGCCAGCTCATCCAGCCCTCGCCAGCCCCGAGCCCGGTGCCCTCACCCGGGACCTCTGACCTGGTCTTGAGCTCCGAGGAGATGTTGTCAAAGAAGGACTTGGACTTGTCATAGTAGCAGTTAGGCCCCAGGTGGTCTTCGTCAGCAGGAGCCTCATCACTCTGAGTCACCACTGCTGGGTCCTTCTCGTCCCCTTTCTCAGCTTTGTCATCTGCACAGAGAACACATGGGATGCCGGGAAGCAAACAGAGTACCCGTTCTACCTGGCAGCCGTCCTCACACCTGGAAGTGCTTCAGGGGGTCTCTGGGGTTCAAGGAAACCCCTCCTCTAAATCCTAACCAGTCTTGGCTGCCCCGGGGCCACGTGGTCTACAGTCTCCTCCCCAGCGTCTCTGCAGTGCCCCAGTGCTTCTCCTCCCTCATTTAGCAACTACTTAGAGGGCACCACCTTCCACGCTGGGACCCCCCAGATCCAACTGCCCCGCCTCTCCACCCATCTTCCTGTGACCTGCTTTTGCAGATACTCCTGAGCCCCTGGGCCAAGAGGGCAATTTCTGAATAACGACAAACACCTTTAAAATTCAGTTTCTTCTTAAACTCTTTGTCCAGCTCCTCTCTGTTGAACTGGGCATTGGCACTCTCAAAATCAAAGTCGCCTTCAAACTTGATTGTGTTTTCCTTGACGTTAGGTGGGCGGTTCTGCCCCCTGGAACGGTTCCTCGTTCGTCTGTTCCCTGTGAGAAGAAAGGAAGCCACGGCTGGTGAGCCACCAATATGATGTCACTCAGCGTGAGACAGACGACAGAGAGGGAACAGAGCACACTGAAGCAGACACTGAGCCCCAGCACCCCCTGAAACTGTCACCCAGAGATGGGGGGTTAAGCAGAGCACACCTCATGGTTCGCAGCTCCCCAGAACTCAAGTGGCAACAGCTGTTACCTGATCTCCTCCTCTGAGGTCTTCTGTTCTCGTCATTCACCTGCCCTTGACTTTGCACAGCTGCCGGCTGAACTACATCTAAGGCGCAAAAGGTAAGAGTAAGGCAAGCGCCTACAATAGCAGAGCCCAGCGATGGAAGGAGGGTGGCACCACCACGGGGGACATGCAGCAAGGGAGAGACCCTGCAAAAGCACATAGTATTTAGGATGAGGGGGCAGAGGGCAGTGTTTTTTAATCAAAAAAAAAAAAAAAAAGGAGAAAGGAAAACAGAACCCCAGGAAGCAGCATGCCACTTTGAGAACATGAAGCAAAGTCCAGAGTGAAGGGGTCAAGTACCGCTGGTGGTCTTGCTGCTTGGCTGGGCGGGGCGCCCGTTGAGCTGCATCCCCACGGGGCCCTTGCCAGGTAACAGCTTTTTGGCGCTCAGGTTATCAACAGAACCAGTCTGGACAGCCTGCTCCACCATGGGGCTCTTGCCGACGGGGACGGATGGAAAACCAGCTCCTGAGACAGGAAGGGAAGGAGGGCTGAAAACCAGGGAGGAGAAAACCTCACGCCCCTCCAGCCACTCCTGGGTGGCCTGTCAGGCAGCTGTAGGTAACCACCTGGAGACTCTCCCAATCCTGGCAAAGCCTCCCAGATGGACCCCCACCCCCACCCCATGTCTAGTAGTCAGGCAGCAACAAGGCCAGTTCATCCAGGAGCCCTGAGCCCCAGGATCCCCAAGCCTGGAGGAGAAAAACACCCTGCCAAAAATCAATACCTCCCAGGTAGTTTAGAAACAGCTTTCCAGGATGGGGAATGGGATGCAAAAAACAAATGAACAAAGCTTTCCAAAACCACATAAATTCTAACCCCAAGGGGGCTCTGTGGATTCCAAGATGCTGGCAAATTCACGGAATTTTGTTCCAGTCCATGCTGGACAAGAACCATCTCAGTCCTATCTTCCAGCTTATGCAGTGGTCACTCCTTAAATTCTAGAACACTGTTGTTTCTGCTTGATGCACAACAGAAAGGATGCCGTAGTAAGACCCGACTACAGAAAAGTAATACAGCTGGAAGAAGCGAAGGCTCCCAGGCTGCCTCTGGAGGCGGCCATGTAGTCTGTTCCCACAACACTGCAGCCCCATCCCGGAGCACAGCAGCTCCAAGCCCAGAGGCCGAGCCTCAGCGGAGGCCCCAGCTTCTGAGGTGTCCTCTGAAGAAGCAGGGAGAGGGCATGCCACCCACACTGGCCCACGTCCTCTCCTCTCCTCCCCTCCCTATAGTCTAAAGGTGGGGGGGCGGTACGGTGCTGGATGGAGGTCCAGAGCTTCGAGACACAAAAACTGACTCTAACCACAGAGGTAACTATGATGAGATTCAGCTCATTATGTGTGAAATTTGGCTCTTTCACCTTTCTTGTTTTCCTCGTGGCACACACACTAAGGGATTTACTGTGAAAAATCCCTTATGACCAGCATGGAAAGTGCTCGTGGCCTTGCATACTGGCATCTGGCGGTTAGCTCGACAGGCACCACATTAGAACAGTCCCCCCGGCCTGCCACCTTGCCCAGCAGGGTGTTCCCAGAGACACAGCCAGACTGCTCCTGCTATACTCTAACTCCATGGGGCATGACTCCCAGGCGCATGTGCTTATGATAAAACCAAACCAGCTAAACTATCTTGCCTTACGAGCAGTTTTATGCAAACAACCCAAAGAACAACCAATTATCTAATGTAAACTTTAACCAGAAAAAAAACAAAAACAGGACTGCTTCTGGGCAGCCCCGGTGGCTCAGCGGTTTGGCGCCGCCTTCGGCCCAGAGCCTGGTCCTGGAAACCCGGGATCAAGTCCCATGTCGGGCCCCCTGCATGGAGCCTGCTTCTCCCTCTGCCTGTGTCTCTCTGCCTCTGTGTCTCTCATGAATAGATAAATAAAATCTTTTTAAAAAACACAAAAAAAACAGGACTGCTTCTATAGCTTGGACACACTGGCATCCATGCAGGAGCACGTAACAGACAGTAGTCGTGTGTCACAGTGGATGGAAGCTCCAGGTGCGATCTTGGACCGAGCCTCTGAGGTGATGAGGGCACAGCACCTGTGCTCTACCTTGAACAGGCATAGGAGTCTCAGCTCTCCAATGATATAAGAACACCAGGAAAGGTCAAGAAACCCCAAGAGATGCCACAGCCCAGCTGAGGCAGGTGGTACACACCAGCATTAACAAGCTGGTCATTAGGCCCACACTCTTCACCTGGTCAACGGCTCGATTGAGTCTCTCGATTTTAAAGGGGCTTCATGTTAAGAAGACACCTGAGGCCTCTTGGATGGGCAACAAATGTGGCACACAGATCCCAAAACAACATGAGTTTCTTAGTGACTCTCTCCTGCAGTCTCACCCAGCAATCTAGAACACACTTGGGAACAGCAGAAACCCCCAGGGAAAGGCTTTCCATGCAGAGGCAAAATTCGCACATTTGGTAGTCTCAGTACAGGTCAACACAGACCCTGGACCCAGGGAGAGTGAACAAGTGTTTGGTCAGTTCTTTCCAATCACTTCTTTAAAACTGGGCAAGTTAATTAATAAATCATGACTACATATTGAACCAAACGGAAGCAGCTTAATTGACCCGTGGGCTGGGCAAATTATCCGCTACAGCTACTGTCACTCTGGGCTACTGGTTTACCCCCTTGCTCTCAGGATGGCAAGACAGCATGCAGCTCTCCCAAACTGCAGTTACCCTTGGAAGTGAGCTGATGTGGCTCTGAGGACATGTCAAGCTCTGAAGCGGGCTGTGGAGATGGAGAAGAACTAGGGCTGGAAGCTGCGGCCGAGGCTGGAGGGCTCACCAGCTTCTCTAAAAGAAGACAGAGGAGAGAAGAGCAAAAGAGAAAGCACACAAATAAGTAATGAGCCACTCACCCTGTGTCCAGCAAGCTTGGAAAGAGTCAAGCAATCTCTCGTAGGACACGTGGCTCACACAAACCTATTCTAGAAACGCAGTGAGCCAGGCTGAGAAGGGCACCCACGCTAAGAACAGCAATCAAGAGGACTTGATTTAAAAAAGTGACCAAGAACTGTCACAGGGCCTGCTCACAGCCCTGCGCTGGAGTGTGAGCCTGCCAACTCCAGGGTCTGAACACTTCACAAAGCTGCATCCAAGGCCAGGTAGACTCTCCCTCTACATGTGCAGAAGAGAACCTCATTCCAGAGTTAGTCCATCTTCAGGAAAACTTTTGAGCAAAGCATGGACAACAAAATGAACATAATAGGTATTAGCTTTTTTATTTGTAGGCTTACAAATGTGCCAATACTTAGAACTGTAATCAGACCTAACACTTGCTTCTTATTGAAGCAAATGTACCATGACTTCCGCCCAAACCAACGTTTCAAATAATTTTGATTGGATTCTCTGTTCCAAGATTCAGCCTGCTACCTCTTCTCTCCACTGAGTAGATACTAAGCGTTCTAACTAGCTCAGGTTGCACTGAGTAACGTACAAAGCGTGCGATACAAACGGAGTATCCCAAGAACAGAGCAACAGAGCGTCCCCACTAGCAGGGTCCGTGGCCCCGCCTCCTGGAGGTCACAGCAGAAGCACTTTACCAGAGAGAAACAGGTTACTCACCTAGACCCAAGGAAGCCGCGTACTGCTGGCTGAGCAGAGAGCTGGCAGCCAGCTGGCTGTAGGGTGGCATCCCTCTGAAGGGGCTGTAAGGCACGTGTGGCTGGAAGGAGGAGGCCGAGCCCGAGCCCAGGGAAGACTGAGCAAGGAGACACACAGATGAGAGCAGCTCAAGGCCCTCCCCTCACCCACCTGGAAAGTGCTGCTCGGACAGGGAAAGGCAGCATGGTTTGTCAGCCTAAGTTCCTGGAGACTGGGGGCGCAGGGGACGCTTCCAAGATAATCTAAGGGAGTTCAAAGATGCCTTTCCCACATTCCATACCCAGTGCCACCTGTTCAGGTAACTCAAACCTGAATTTCCCAGAACTCAACCCCTCTAATGGCACCCCACTGTCATCCAGTAGTTTAGCCTCTGTAAGAGGATGGTCACACCATCCTCAATTAGGCCCTGCCCATAACAGGCAAGAGCATAGCTGTGGGGTTCCCAGATGAGCATAAGCATCATTTCTCTGGTCCCCCACGTCTTCAGGGACACTGCTGCCTCTGTTGCTCCCAAAAGGCAGGCCCCTTTGTCTCTCAAGGCCTGGCTCAGGTGCTTGCCTCTTCTTAAGTCCCCAGGAACTTTCCCTTCAAACCTTTCCTAAGTCTGGCCCAGAGTTCCTCCACGTGTCCCCAGAGCACCCCCAGGGCACGCTCCTATCTCCCAGAGAGGAGCCCCTGACTATTTAAATTTGCAAATCAAGAGACCATTAACCTAGACTTCCTGGTCATCCTAGGCAAATTATACCTTAATGGGAGCACCTGGTGGCTCAGTCAGTTAAGTGTCTGCCTTAGGCTCAGGTCACCCGGGTCCTGGGAGCAAGCTCCACATCTCATCCAGTCCCATCCCAGCCCCACCACCACCACCTCATCACCATCTCATTGGGACTCCCTGCTCAGTGGGGAGTCTGCTTCTACACCCCTCCCCTCTCATGCACTCTCTGGTGCACGCACACACTCCCTCTCTCAAATCTCAGAGAACAATAAAAACTTTTTTAAAGTTATGCCTTAATAGACCAAGCACGTGTATGGTGTAAGAACTGCAAATTCAATGTGCCACAACACTGGCATGTAAAATCTGGACCGTGTCAAGAGAGCAAGTCCTGCTGTCCCAACCCAAACACTAAGGACAATCGTGGATTCCCCAAGCACCCCAGACAAGACTAGAACACCACCCCCTTCTCACAAGACAGAGAGTCTCACTTTACAGTACATGCTAGCGCCTGCTGAGGTTAAGACCTTTCGCAGGAACACCAACAGCCTGGACACGAATTAAACCACTTCTCACTAAAAGGCTATTCCTCGAGTTGAGTGCTCCCGCCAAACAGATGACACCAAGTTCCATTTGGAAACCAGCGCCTCTGGAAACCGTGCCCACAGTGAAGCAGAGCAACACACTTACTTGAACAATAGCAGGATCCTGAGGGAGGGTGTGCTGAGCTTTCGGGGGTTCACACACGGTAATATCCTTGATGTCGCTTCCCCGGAAAATGATGTACTCATAGATTTCCTCTCTCGGGGGGGCCGGCCTATCTGTGGGACGGTCTTCGGTACCAAAAGACCTCACTTCGGAGTTGAGAGAAAGCAGCATTAGGTTGCCGTCCTCGGCCAAGGGCGCTCCATCCACCCATCCTCTTGCACTGCAGCTCTCAAGTGCTCCGCGACCGGCCTGCCCTGCACACCATCCGCCGCAGGGTACCCCTGCCCCCAGCTTCCAGGGGACAATACCCACAAGACCCCGGCTGGCAACGCTCCAAAAGGTTCTAGGTCACAAAGACACGTTAATGGCTGGTCGGCCTGACGCCCCGTGAAGTTGAACGTTCTCAAGTGTGAACACAGGAGGCCCAGCGCCCCTCCTCCCCCCAGCAAACCAGGTCAGCTTGGCAGAGCAGCGCTGTTTACACCCCACTTCGAGATTAAACAGCCCGAAACCTCACCCCACGTCCGTCATCCTGGGGAGTTTGTTTTGTTAGGAGAGAAGCCGGGAGCCTGCTCCCCTCGCCCTCCCGCAACCTGCCTGGGGAAGAGCTACTAAGAGCGGCCGGAGAAGCAGGCCCAGGACCTGGATCCACAGTCCCAGCCTGCATGCGCCCAGGTGCCTTCTGGGGGGGGGTGGGTGCGGGTCTGGAGGGCTCTCCAAGTCCATCCTCCTGCATCTCCTGACGCAGCCTCCATCTGACCTAACTACCAGCCCTGCTAAAGACCAGCGGCTCTGGGCCTCAGTTTCCCCAACGGGGACCTCATGCCCCGACACACTCGGTGCCAGGAGTCCACGTCAGCACGCGGCCTTGTCCGCGGTCCCGAATCCTCCCCGGGGAGCGGTGCAGCAGGGCTGCCCTGGAACCCGGGCGCCGGGCTTTGGGACAGACGCCCCCCCCCCCCCCCCGCCCCCAGTCTGGAATGGCTGCGTCGTCCAGGCCTGGAGGCCGAGCTCCCTCTGACGGCGCAGGCTGAGCTGGACCCTTCGAGGCCCGCCGACACCCTGCGGACCGGGCTGCGCTCAGGGGAAGGACACTCGCCATCTTCCCTGGAGCATGAGGACAAAGAAACTTTGCGGCCACCTCCTGCCTCGACTGGGCGGGCGAGGGTTCTGGGCTGCTCCGGGGCCGGCGCCGGGCCTGCGCGCGGCGCCCCTGGGGCGGGGTGCGGGGGGTGCGGGGGTGCGGGGGTGCGGGGTGGCTCCCGCGCCCGGAGGAGGCGGGCGGCCGCGGGTGCAGCGGGGCAGGACGGCGCTTCAGGCGGGGCCCCCGGGGCGGGCGACGCTGCCCTCGGGCCGGGAGGTTCCATTCCGGCGGCGTTTGTTCAGGCTCCGGGCCCCAGCTGCCTAATGGGTTCCAGAAGGGCTCGCAGGGGCCGAGTTCGGGAGGCCCCTCGCCCCGCCCCCGGCCGCGGGGCCCGGCTCTCGGCCCCACCTGCAGAGGTGCGCGGGGCGGGGGGGAGGGGAGGAGGAGAGGGAGGGGAGGGGGAGGGGGCCGGCTCGCCCCCCCCGCCCCTGCCCCCCGCGCCCCCGCCCCCCCCCCCCCGCGGGCCGCGCACAATGAGCCGCCGCGGGCCCGGAGCCCATTGTGCGGGCGGGCGGGCGGGCGGGGCGCGGGCTGTTGGCGGGCGGGGCCGGGCGGTTGGGGCGGCGGGGGCGGCGGGGGCGGCGGGGGCGGCGGGCCGCTACCTTTGGCGAGCGCCACGGTGGAGTTGTCGGTGTCGATGGTGTAGAGGATGCCCTCGTAGCGGATCTGCGCCTTGGAGATGAGGCTGATCTTGCTGCCCAGGTACGGGGTGCCCGACGAGCCGCTCATGGCGCCGCCCGCCCGCCCGCCTCCGCGCGGTCGCCTCGCCGCCGCCGCCGCCGCCGCCGCCGCCCGCCCCGCTGCCTCGGCGCCTCCTCACCGCCGCCCGACCGGCCTGCGCGGGGACCAGCGAGCGAGCGGCGGCGCGCGGCCGGGGGTCTGAGGGGAGCGCGGGGGAGGAGGGGCCGCCGCAGCCACATCCGGGGCCTCGCGCCGCCACGCCCCGCCCCCGCACGCCCGCCGCCCATTGGCCCGCGCGCCGGCCTCCCTTTAAATATGGCCGCGCCGCCGGCCGGGGGGCGGGCCCGCGCTCCGCGCCTGCGCAGACGGCGCCGCGGGCCCGGGCGGGCTTTCCCCGCTCTCCGCCCCCTCCCTCCTCAGCCCAGTCCCGGAGGCCCCGCGCGGGGCGAGAGCACGAGACCCGGCGGGCCGCCCCGGGCGGAGGGGGAGGGGTGGGAATGCGGGGGCGGGGCCGGGGGCGGGGCCCGGGCGGGGCGCGTCTGCCTGGGCCCGGGCGCCGGGGCCGCGAGCGTGCGAGCATCCGCTCTCCAGGAGCTGCGGGGCGGCTTCCCCAGCTCCAGGCTGCGAGGCCGCGCGGTCCGCGGGCGCCCGGGCCCTCCCTTTCTCCAGCCCGGGCGGGGCGGAGTCCCTGCCCCGGGGGCGGAGGCAAGGGCGAGGGTCCCTGTCCCGGGAGGGGGAGGCGGGGTTGGGGGATCCCTGTCCCGGGAGGTGGAGGCGGGGTTGGGGGGGATCCCTCTCCCGGAAGGGGGGCGGGTTTCGGGGGATCCCTGTCCCCAGAGGTGGAGGCGGGGTTGGGGGATCCCTGTCCCCAGAGGTGGAGGCGGGGTTGGGGGATCCCTGTCCCGGGAGAGGGGGCGGGGTTGGGGGATCCCTGTCCCCGGAGGAGGCGGCGTTCGGGGGGATCCCTGTCCCCAGAGAGGAGGCGTTCGGGGGGATCCCTGTCCCGGGAGGGGGAGGCGGGGTTGGGGGATCCCTGTCCCGGGAGGGGGAGGCGGGGTTCGGGTGGATCCCTGTCCCGGGAGGGGGAGGCGTTCGGGGGGATCCCTGTCCCGGGAGGGGGAGGCGGGGTTGGGGGATCCCTGTCCCGGGAGAGGGGGCGGGGTTGGGGGATCCCTGTCCCCGGAGGAGGCGGCGTTCGGGGGGATCCCTGTCCCCAGAGGAGGAGGCGTTCGGGGGGATCCCTGTCCCGGGAGGGGGAGGCGGGGTTGGGGGATCCCTGTCCCGGGACGGGGAGGCGGGTTTCGGGGGATCCCTGTCCCCGGAGGAGGCGGCGTTCGGGGGGATCCCTGTCCCGGGAGGGGGAGGCGGGGTTGGGGGATCCCTGTCCCGGGAGGGGGAGGCGGGGTTCGGGTGGATCCCTGTCCCGGGAGGGGGAGGCGTTCGGGGGGATCCCTGTCCCGGGAGGGGGAGGCGGGGTTGGGGGATCCCTGTCCCGGGAGAGGGGGCGGGGTTGGGGGATCCCTGTCCCGGAGGAGGCGGCGTTCGGGGGGATCCCTGTCCCCAGAGGAGGAGGCGTTCGGGGGGATCCCTGTCCCGGGAGGGGGAGGCGGGGTTGGGGGATCCCTGTCCCGGGAGGGGGAGGCGGGGTTCGGGTGGATCCCTGTCCCGGGAGGGGGAGGCGTTCGGGGGGATCCCTGTCCCGGGAGGGGGAGGCGGGGTTGGGGGATCCCTGTCCCGGGAGAGGGGGCGGGGTTGGGGGATCCCTGTCCCCGGAGGAGGCGGCGTTCGGGGGGATCCCTGTCCCCAGAGGAGGAGGCGTTCGGGGGGATCCCTGTCCCGGGAGGGGGAGGCGGGGTTGGGGGATCCCTGTCCCGGGACGGGGAGGCGGGTTTCGGGGGATCCCTGTCCCCGGAGGAGGCGGCGTTCGGGGGGATCCCTGTCCCGGGAGGGGGAGGCGGGGTTGGGGGATCCCTGTCCCGGGAGGGGGAGGCGGGGTTCGGGTGGATCCCTGTCCCGGGAGGGGGAGGCGTTCGGGGGGATCCCTGTCCCGGGAGGGGGAGGCGGGGTTGGGGGATCCCTGTCCCGGGAGAGGGGGCGGGGTTGGGGGATCCCTGTCCCCGGAGGAGGCGGCGTTCGGGGGGATCCCTGTCCCCAGAGGAGGAGGCGTTCGGGGGGATCCCTGTCCCGGGAGGGGGAGGCGGGGTTGGGGGATCCCTGTCCCGGGAGGGGGAGGCGGGGTTGGGGGATCCCTGTCCCGGGAGAGGGGGCGGGGTTGGGGGATCCCTGTCCCCGGAGGAGGCGGCGTTCGGGGGGATCCCTGTCCCCAGAGGAGGAGGCGTTCGGGGGGATCCCTGTCCCGGGAGGGGGAGGCGGGGTTGGGGGATCCCTGTCCCGGGACGGGGAGGCGGGTTTCGGGGGATCCCTGTCCCCGGAGGAGGCGGCGTTCGGGGGGATCCCTGTCCCGGGAGGGGGAGGCGGGGTTGGGGGATCCCTGTCCCGGGAGGGGGAGGCGGGGTTCGGGTGGATCCCTGTCCCGGGAGGGGGAGGCGGGGTTCGGGTGGATCCCTGTCCCGGGAGGGGGAGGCGGGGTTCGGGGGGATCCCTGTCCCGGGAGGGGGAGGCGGGGTTCGGGGGGATCCCTGTCCCCGGAGGAGGAGGCGGGGTTCGGGGTTCCCTGTCCCGGGAGGGGGCGGGCTCGAGGGTCCCCGTGGGCAGAGGGCCGTGAGTGCCCGTCCCGCCGAGCGAGGGCGGGGTGCGGGGCCGGGGATCCCCAGCCGCGTGGGGTGGGGGCTGCCCTCTGGGCGCAGCGGCAGCTGCGGGTGACGAGCGCTTCCGGCGCGTCGGCCGCTAAATATAAAGTGCTGAGCGCGGGTTCTCCTTTAATCCCTCCCCTCCCCTCCCCTCCCCCAAACCTGCGGTAGCTTCGCGTCCCTTAAAATAAATCCCGGCCGCCAGCAGCGCCTCCCAGCCCCGCCCGGCCCGCCGGCTCCTGCCCAGCCCAGCCCTCCGGCCGGTGGCCTCGACCTCGACCTCGACCTCGACCTCGGGGCCCCTCGCGTCCCCGCAGCGCCCGCCCTCCCGGGGCCTGCACGTGTGCGCCGCTTTATTGTCTGGGTCCTGGCCGGCCCGACAGGGTCCTGGAAGGCGCTCCGTGGGTGGTGATAGCATTTTATAAAAATAAAACAGTAAAATAGAAAGCCCCCGAGCATCTCCCATAGAGTATGGCTTTGTGTTTAGGCCACTCAGTACGTGAGTGTTCCCGTGGGTACTGGGTCAAGATGTCAAACCTGTTTCTTACCCCAAGTGCCAAACTAAAGAAGGGAAACCCCTGGGGACAAGAGCTTAACCCACGGCGCGGACTAGGCATCTGACTGCCCTCGTCTTGCAGAGGAGGACTTGAGACCCAGCACGGACCGACCGTGGCTGCAGGCCGGAGAGGCAGCTCCTGCTGCGCATGAGACATCCTGCTCCCACCAGCACCCAGCGACATCCAGGACCAGGGAGCCGCGGCTTTGAGGAAAGGGAACAGGAAGGAAGCAGAAGAGGAGGTGGAAAGTCTTGAGAATGTACCTGCCGAGGCTTACCTGTATGTTCTAGAATTGATTCTTGGTACATGGGAAAGCTGAGAATGGAGACAGCACAGCCATGGAGTTGGTCTAGCCCCACTAGGAGTGCTCTCTGGGGTTGGGGTGTCCTGCTCCTAGAAGTGGGGTGGGACTTGCCCCTTAGCACAGCCTTTCCCAGGGGCACACCTGTCCTGAGTTGCTGCCCCCCTCCCCCCTCCACCCCCACTTCCTGATCGTCCCCCCCCCCCATGTTCTGGGTCTAGCATAGGACTTGTCCAATGTCACAGATTCTCTGCTTCCCAGATTCTGGTTTCTGAGCCACAAGCTTCTCTGTGTCTCCATCCCCAGCTGGGTGGGAATGTACTCGTCAACTGAGAGATGATCCTGCCTTGGAAAAGAGAGGTTCCAAGCCTTAGGACCAGGGTGGGGGGCAGTTTCCAGAGACTTCTGAGAGCCTGCCAGACCCTTGGTGTGCAGCTAGGTGGTTCCCTGAGGACATTAGCCATGGGGCAAATGCCCAGGCAGGGTGGAGGCTAAATATATACAGGGTGCACAGGTCCAAGAATGCCAGCCCTACCGTACATTCCTTGGTGTCTTGCCCGAAGTGGAGGGCACTTGCAAAAGGCTCAAGAAGGGGAGCAGTTGTGGTGGGACCTAGACTTGACTCAGGAGGCCATCAGTGTGGTTTGTGCCCCGGGCTGGGGTGCACTCATTCAGCACCTCCACCTGAAACAGCTTTTCACAGTGCCTACCCACCAAGCCTTACATCGCTGAGCCCAAGGGCAGAGAGACAGCTGAGAAGCTGGGATATTCTGAGCAGTTCAGACTCCCTCAGTTTCTCATTTGCTCCAATGGAGCCGATAGCTCTCCTGCCCATCTCATTGGTGGTTGCAAGGACCTGACAGGGGCCAGGAGCCCAGGCCTACCCAGTAGGAGGCTGCATGTGCCGAGGACCACAGAGGCAGCTAGCGAGGTTTCCCCTGCAAAAAAGAGCCACTTACTAAGTACCTACTGTGTGTCTAGGGGGAGTGAAGTGGTCCCTGATACAGACAGGTGTGAATATGTGGACACGGGACGCTGTCCTGGGTTCCATCACAGTCCGGCAGGTCCTGCTGCAGGAAGGACCCTTCACTGCAGAACATCATTGTGCCTCTGATGTCCACCTGAGCAAGAATGAGCCTCGTGGCCATTGGAGGTGTGGGTATCATTGCTTACCAGGAGCAAAACACAACAGGTGAGTTGATTCAAAGGTCGATAATAGGTGGTCCACAGAGCAAAAGTCAGCAGCCTGAAGTGTGGGAGCATGCCAGCGAGGCAGGACCTCTTCCACCCTCTCCTGTCCTGCATAAGGGAGGGCAGATGCTCACCTGTTTGGGAGAGCCCTTGCCCACCTGCAGATAGTGGAGCCGGGAGGGAGCCCAGGGGTTACAGGTGGGCTGGGTGGGGAAGTCAGGGCTGGCTTTGAAGGCGTTGCTTACTAAGACCTTCTAGAGGAGAAAAGGGGCACAGGGAGGGTGTATTCAGGGCCTACCCATGTGGCTGGGGAGTAAAGGCCGGAGGAAGGGGGCGCCTAGTTCTTGCATAGCCAGGAATACTCCCTGAGGTCTGACCTGCTCTCTGTGAGTCCTGCTGGAATCCACTTCCTCTGCCCTGGGCCCTAGATGGCTGTTTTCTCGGAAGGCTCCATCAGGCTCCGCGGCTGGGGGCTGGGAGAGAGCCTGGGGCAGGGACTGTGCCCAGGCTGCCGCCTGCCGGCCCCCAGGACCTGGCCTCTGTGCACTTCCCAAGGGGAGAACGAGAGTGAGACCGAGTCACCGAAGCCACAGCTGAGGATGTGGAAACGGGAAAGGGGGACGTAAGGGCCCATGCACTTGGCAGTTCTCTTTATTTCTAAATAAAAGATAATTCGAAGGACCCAGTGGTGGTGCGTGTGTCTGTTCACCAGTGAACGTGCACCGGAACGTTTTCACAGTGAAACCAGAAACCGCCAGGCCCGCCAGCAGGAGATTGGATCTCTGATGGCAGCCTGTTCTGCTGGAAGCTTCTGGGGTACCAAGTGTGAGCACAGACAGGGCAGCAAGAGAAAGAGACCCAGAGAACAGTGGCCCGATGCCCTGCACATACGGTGGGCAAGCGCTCACGTGCTGTTGGGGTTGCATGAGGCATCAAGGCTGGAAGGGCCCTGGGTGGCTTTTGGGAGCCGGCCCGCCGTGGGTGCTGGTTACACAGGTGCGTTCCATTCGTAGACATGCATAGATCTGAACACCTGACTTGAGCACTTTTGTGCACGTGTCTGTTATACTTGGAGAGAAAGTAAATACGGAGAGCCTTGCTCCAGGGTCCAGGGCGATCCATCACGCTTCTGCTAAGTGCCCACAAGAGCCAGTGTTTACCGAGCTGCCTGCCCCGTGCTCCTATGAGCGCCAGCCCAGCCTATGAGCGCCAGCCTGGCCGCGCACTCTCCTCCCCTGACCCCAGCCCGGTCCTCCGAGCTGTGCTCCTCCACCTTCAGAGGTGAGGCAAGCAGCCTGGGGGAGGTGCTAGGCCAGGACCACACAGCAAGCAGCAGGGCTGAGGTTCAGACAGGCGGCTTGGGCTGCTGACCTGGGCACCCCTGCCCTGCAGCGTTCAGCCTTGGGGGAGAGGCGCCAGAAGTGATGTCTGTGCTCGAGGAGCTCACCCTCCGAAGGTCCCCAGACACACACTGCCCTGGAGGCTGGAGCTGGGCATTTGGGAAATCGGTTACTCCTTCAGGGCCCTGTCCTCTCCTGACCCCATGCAAAGGGTGCGGGACACAGCCGAGGGAGTTGCCACGGTAACCCACGGGCTTCCCCAGGAGCGTCCTAGGATGCCAGCTCCACGTCCACTCCAAGGCTGGGCACTTGTCTTTGTGCTGGGGGGGCAGACCTGCAAATAGAGAAGCCGTGGCAGAGGCTGAGAGAGGCGGTCCGGGCTCCCAAAGCCTGAACTCACCTAACAGTGCTCCGTGAGCCACCCGAGGGCCCCTGGTACGCTTACTAAGACATGCTCACGGCCCAATAAAAGGCTGGCATTCTGCTGGGCATGTGGGCATTTTTACTCACGTTGAGGTCTGAGGCAGTAACACCATAAACCTTCCCTTCTGCTGCTGCCTTAGCCACCCTGAATGCAGAGGCGGGGGTCATGCGCTGGGTGGCAAGAACTAGTGTGCATCGGGAGCCCCGAGGTACCCAGGCGGCCACGGGGCAGCACGTGGGCCGGGCTGGGGAGAGCGCTGCGCTCCCGCAAGTCAGCTTCTCGGTACAGAGCTGCTTCCAGCTTTGCCAGCAGGCCCGGCAGCTGGACGGGGAGTGCATGCCCGAGACACGTACCCGTGGCTCTCCTTGTTCCTACGGCCAGTCGTAGACATACACGGATACATATTCGTCTTTCTCAAGCACCGGGACCGAGAGCCAACGTTTGCCTTGGGACTCTTGCTGGGTTTGGGGGCAGAGTGTCACAAACAGCACTCCGCACCACAGCTGACCTCAGGGCCAGCGCTCCGGGGTCTGATCTCTCCACCATGGGCTGGACTGGAATTCATGCCTTACTCGTTTGGTTAAAGATTTTATTGAGCTAGAAAGTACCGTGACATTCGCCCACTTAAAGTGTTACAGTCCAGTGGCGTTTAGCATAGCACTGGAGCTGTGCCGCTATCACCATATAATTCGGCATCATTTCATCCCCACCCCAAAGCCCCTACGCTCTAGTAGTCACTCCACACTCCCCTCTCCCCTGAGCCCCAGGCAACTGCTGTGGGTTTACTGGTCCTAGAAATCTCACCCCAATGAAACCCTGTGCTATATGGTCTCAGGCGACAGGCTTCTTTCCCTTGCACACTTTAGGAATGTTCTCAAGGTTTGTCCACATTGCAGAGTTGGTCAATCCTTCCTTCCTTATGGCTGGATAACGTTCCACCGAGCGTGCGTACTCATCAGCTGATGGGCGTTTGGGCGGTTTCTCCTTTTCAGTTACTAGGACCGGGGCTGCTGTGAACGTTCCTGTACAGGTTCTTGTGTGGACGTCCGTTTTTATTTCCCCCGGGCATATACCTGGGAATAGAATTGCTTGGTCATAGGGTAATTTTGTATTTAACACGGTGAGAAACTGCCTTCCAAAGTGGCGGCACCACCTTACCTTCCCACAGCAACGTGTGAGGTGGACCGGCCCCCCTGGACGTTATCTGGGGATGGGGTGTTGTGTCTCAGCGGGGATGGTCCTTTCCCCGCTCGGGAGTGCCTCGGCACCAAGTGTCCAGCAGTTGCCCAAGGGGCAGACGTCTGTGTTCAGATGGCAGCGCAGACAGAGGTTTCTCGGAAGGTGGGCGTTGGGGGAGGAGCCTCCTGCCCGGCCCGTCGTGCGGCTCAGGGTCGCGGGTGAGCAGCCCACAGACCCGGAGCTGCTGCTGCGAGTCCGCAGGCCCGTGTTCCCTCCGCTGCCCTGATACTTGCCGGCCACGCGTTCTAGGTTCTGGGCAGAGGTCAGGCCCGGACGCCACCTTCCTGGAGATGGGCCCTCGACGGGAAAGTCGTGGCAGTTGAGGTTCACGGTGTCGAATGGGCAGCGACGCTCCAGCGCGGGATTTACAGACAGGACGCTGCGGCCCAGGCCCGTGAGGACGTGCCCAGCGGCCGCGGAGCCGGAGCGCCAGCCCACGCTGCGGGGTGAGCGGCCGAGCCCTCCCCCTGCCCCGTGTGGCCGCACCGCCCCGGCCTGCGGGCCCTGCTGAACCAGGTGCCCAGGATAGTGCGATCACCGGGGGCAGCTCGCGTGGGGCCGGCAGCCACTGTGCGCTCGGCCAAGTCTGCCCCCCAGCGGGAGCTGTGGGGGTGGGGGGCTGCGGGGGAGCCCCGCGCAGGGCAGAAAGGGCCAGGCGCTGGTGCCACTGCCTCCGCCACCTCACGGCTCTCAGCAAAGTCTGAGTCACAGCTCAGCCTCCCTCACAGTTGGGCTCTGTGGTCACAGGTCATCTCCCCTGCACCAGGGACCTCGTTCCGGGCTCCCCAGCCACCCTTCCCGGGGGGGACCCCCGAGCGGGGGGGAGGCACACCAGCCCCAGTATCACAGCCACTGTCGGGGCTCAGCAGGGGCTCATCCCTCCCCTCCTCTCCTCTGCTCTTACCCTCTGCTGTCACCTCTGCAGGCCTGGTGGCGGGGCCCTGGGGGTGTGACCCCATCCTCATTCCGGAGGGGCTGAGCCCTCCCTGGTCACCGCCTTCTCAGCCCGGGTGGCGGGACCGTGTGGGCATATCACAGGCCTGAGGGGGGGCACCACGGCGTCAGAGGGCCCTGAATTCCACACGGGTCCCCCAGCCAACAGCCCCATGTCCTCTTGCCTCTTGCCGATTGGGCCATGACTCCTCCTCCTGACTGGGCTCTAGGGGCTCAAAATGTCAGGGAGGACTTTGATTTGCTGTCCCACTGCCTGGATGTTCTTCCTCGGGGTCGTCTTACGGCCCAGCCCTCCTGTCTTCTCTGTTCTGATGTCACCCAATCTGACAGGCCTTCTGCCGCCTCCAGCCACCTTGTGGAAGTGGCAAAGCAGCCCCGGCATACCCCGCACCCCCTAACCTGTGTGCCTCGGCTCTGCCCCCCAGCACCCCCAGGATGCCAGCTCCAGCTCCGGAGGACAGCCTTGGCCCCCAGCACCTACAGTCGGTGTGAACTCCTGGTCCAGGTGTGCTGGGCAATCTACCGGCAGGGCCCCTGCTCAAGGTCACCTTGGCTGGTGGAGGGCACGGCAAGGTCCCTGGTCCTGCCCACCACCATCCTAATTGTCCAGGCCCAGGGCTCCCAGGATCCCGGGTGGGGAGGGTGTGGGGACGGCAGGGTTTGGACAGCGTGTTTCCTGGGTGAGAGGGACAGCTGTTGCTCCAGACTGTTTTTCAGAAATTAAAAGTAAGTTTTTCTTTTACAGATAAATACATAGAAACTCAGGAAGATTCAGCAGCTTGTCAAGAACACATGGCTTTAAGTGCCCTGGGCATTGCTGTGACCTGTACTATCAGACCCAACATGTTTAAGGGGAGCTAGAAATCTGGATTTTATGAGAAATCTGAGTTTATCTGTTGGCACCTCATTCAATCGTCCTATGACGCTGTGCCAGGATCCTTCCTGAGGTGAGGAGGGGATGGTGGGTGCTCTGGGCCCCTTCACCGCAACCCCCCAGGTTTCAGCTCTTGGCTCAGACATGCATGAGTTTTCTTCTTCCTCTTTTGCAGGCAGGCATTTGGGTGACTTTTTTTTTTTTTTTAAGTAGGCTCCACGCCCAGCATGGAGCCCAACATGGGGCTGCACTCCTGACCCTGAGATCATAACCTGAGCCAAGGTCAAGAGTCAGAGGCTTACCCGACTGAGTCCCCCAGGTGCCCCCAGGTGACATTTCTTGATGTTTCCAGACTTTGTCCCCTCTGGCCAGTGCTTCTGCTGAGTGATCGGAGGTACTGATGGTGGCAGCAGGAGATGAGAAATAGCGATAGTACCATCTCCTCCCAAAAATGCCTTTCAGACAAACCCAAACGTACGGGGGTGACTTCCAATCCAACCCAGCTTAGGGAGCTAAGGTCCCAGGGAAGGACCACAGTGGGACTCTGTGCCATCTCCTCTCCCTCAGCTGGAAGACAGGTGCTGGGGTGGCCCTGACGTTAGGACCAGGGAAAAGCAGAGAGGCTCCAAATCCAGGAGGCCAGGGGCTCTGAGGGTGGGGCACGGAGCTGGGGTGAGGACGGGAACAGCAGTTACAAGACTTAAAGGAGCGGTTAGGCGCCAGACGCACAGGCCGGCGGAGGCTGGAGGCCCCAGGCTCACTCTTGGGGGTGCGGGCCAAGAGGCTCTGGCCTCAGGGGCCCCGGCCCAGCCCCGGTGCACGACAGCCCGGGAGGATCAGG